AAGCTGAAATTTTCAAAGTAACATCATAGAAGGTCTTCAAAAACATCACAAATGTCACGGCTTTTTACCAATCTTCATCACTAGGTGGACCCACCCTCTTATTAGACTCAGACTTTCCCTTCCATTTCCCACTTCCTTCAATGCCTTCATTTCTCTCTTCCTCTCTTTCCTCTTCCTTGAAGTAAGTTAAGTAGGAAGAATCGGGATCATCCCCCATACCCATCCTATAAAAAGCTTTTCAAAATTTCAATGCCGCATCAAGCATCAAATAAGTGGAGTTCCACCTAGTGGGCACATCCATCACCACCAACCCCTTGCACTTTATTTTTTCCGTCTCAACACACATTTTGAAGTAACTCAACCGAGAAGGTGAGGACCTCACAAACTTGACCACATTACGGATTGCCACAATTGAGCTTTCTAATCTCTTCAAACCCTCCTTAACTATCAAGTTAATTATATGAGCAGTACACCTTATATGCATGTGAACTCCTCCTAACACACTATTCGAATCTTTCCACCCATTTATTTTTTTACTCACATAATCAATTGTCTTACCTTTGTGATCGGTTCATAATTGTATATCATTTTGTACCCTTCTAGCTTATGATTTGGTTATGTTATTGAGTTAAACTTGTGCTTTTAATCCATTTTCTGTTTTGATAAGTCCATAATTTCATACACTTGCATGCCTTCTTTACTTAGTGATTTTGCTTAGTTTCTCTTTATTTTGAGTCACTTACTTCTGTTTAACCGATACTTGGACATCGGTTCAAAATGTCAATTACATAATGTTGACCACCTACTTTGTTTCTTCGGAGTTAGGATACAAAAGCTTGTATATAAACTCCCAAACGAATGTTATTTTCATTTATCGTGAAGAACTATCTATCTTCTTTTCAAGGGCTATAACATTTCTTTACATATGCCGATTGAGGCTTTGAAAAATGAAAACCATGAGCTTTCTTTGAAGTTGGAAGTACTGTTGATAATATATACATACATCTAAAAAATGTTAGCACCACTTACTAACTGTTGGTCAACCAAATTTTTGCCAAACACATTGCTCATACCATGGAAGTATATATTGAAGACATGCTACTCAAGAGTAAGAATACCGATCATCACCTCCGTAACTTTTCATTCATGTTCGGCATTTTAAAGAAATATAAAATGCGTCCCAATCCTACGAAGTGCGCCTTCGACGTATCTTCTGACAAGTTCCTCAACTTCATGCTCAGCTAAAGGGGCATCGAAGCCAATCCCAAAAAGATCAAATTATTGCTCAACATGCAGGTGCCAAAGACACAAAAGAACATCCAACGCCTCACTGGTTGCAAAGCCGCACTTTAAAATAAACTCTAAGTAAGCATGCATATCTCTCTTAAATCGAAGTTTTTTCTTTTTTCTCGACTCTTAAATTGAAGTTAATAAGCCTGGGCACGGTTCGGGTTGAGTCAAATTTTGGTTGACGTGTGGGCTAAATAGATGAAGGCCTCGGTTCTCGGGTTAGGTCGGGTCTAAGTTGACACCCGCAAGTGGGCCAAACCACAATGGACCTCGGTTCTCGGGTCGATTTTGTATTTTAATAGAGCCCCATGCTACAATTTTTCAAAAGCCCAGATCATATTTATTTGCAGTCAAAAAAAGCCCAAATCATATTTAGTTTCAGCCAAAATCCTTTTTTTTTTTTGACAAATTGCCAAAACCTAATAAGTTCTTACTAACATGCCCAAATCACTTTTTTCTTCTCTTTCAAATCCTGAAATCATGCAAATTCAGGTATAACCCATAAAAATCCATCATTCCAATCTAAGTTTCTAAACAACTAAATCAATCCCACATCCACACAATCATCAACCAACCAAGGAAAGGAAATATAACTTCTTACATAAAAACCATAAAAAAACATACTACAACTAATTATAAGGGTATGGATTCCCTGGTACAACATACACACGCATCACCTTGAACCAAAAAAACACTCTCACGGTGCCATTTGCATTGATTGCAACAAGTCCAGAAGGTAGGATTTATCTTTGCTTCAGTAGGCCAGCCTTCAATAACAAAACACAATTCGTTGTTGTTACAAGCGCTGCAGTGATTGAACTTAATCTTTCCATAGTAAAACATATCTACGATATGTCTTGAAACAGACAAAACTCGGCTTAATCTTCGTCTCAAAGCATCTCTGGTTCCTTTCATATCAATGTTGTTACGTTGATTCAAAGAACACAAAAATTGTAATGCATCCTCTTTTGACTGACCAATTTCGGACATGCCAAGTAGTTCAACTAGATATGCCGCTTCCATATGGCTTGCCATTGCTGCAATGCGCATCCCATACAACGCTTCCACGTTACCCTGCATGAAAAACACTTCGAACGCTTCTCTAAATATCAACTCAGGGTTCTCGCAAGCCCAGCATTGTTGCAAGAAAAGCTGGAGCACAGGATTGGAATGGTACCAGCTAGGATGGTTTAGGTACTTTGCCATTAAAATGGTTTTCCACACTTGTGGAGTGTTTGACAATGTCTGGAATAATGGGCACACAGATGCCATACAGAAGAGATCTTCCGATGATTGAGTTGCCACGTATAACATCACTTTAAACCAAGCTAACTACAGGATGAAGGCTTGGGGCATATCCAAATGGAGATGCTTCCTTCGCTTTCCTCCGAGTGTAATGAAATGTTTCAAATTCATTGAAATGTTTTTGGAATGGGACGATTTGAGGAGTTGAACAGAGGAGAAATGAAAACATAAAGGATTTTGGTTTTGTTTTAGCCTCTGTTTGTAGTGTTTTCAAAAGGTGTTTCCACTTGGGGTTTTTCCAAGTTGACCCTTTTTAAAGAAACTGAACCCAACACCGTAAAACTAAAGAGAAGAGAAGGGAAGTCGTCATCGAAATGCAAAGAGAGTCGGACAGTACAAAAGTCAATTAATAACCTATTTGCATAGCAAAATTTGGATCCCACCATCACATTCATTGATACAAATTTGATGGATTACTCACCAGTCACAGAAGGTCCCATCAAATACTTTTTCATTTTCCCACACCAAACTAACCCTGATAAGGTTATTAAAATGGAACCAATGATGATGGATTCTTATCTAACTAGTTACCTTAATGAAATATAATTAAAATAATATATTTAAAGCAGTGTCCCCTTAATTTTCAGATTAATATTTGGTAGTGAAATATTATATTGGTTTTTCGGGTAAAAGGTGCCACAATCTTGACGGTACATGTGTCAAGATCGTGACCCACCCACCCACACACAGAAAAGAAGGATATAATTCGATTTGGGCAGAGATGAGAGAGACTTGACTAAGAAGTTTAGGGTTATGAGTGAAGGGGTATGACTGAGAACTATGAGTGAGAAGAGGTATGACTGAGGAGGTATTAGTGAGAAGGTACGAGTCATAAGAGGTTTTCGTTTACGACCTCCAAAAATCAAAGAAGGCTCGGTTTCATTGTTAGTACTACCACCACTCTCATTGGTAGTACTAGTAGCACCCATATTGTTACTACTAGGCTTATACACTTCATACATATTCAAAAGAAGTTGTTTCACCTCATTTGTCTTTTGAGCCACCAATCTATCACAAGTAGGATCATTTTCAAATATTTCATCAAAGACGTGCTTCAAATTGCGAAGTTTGAATTGGGGGTCAATCACAACTCCTATAATCAAGAATGGGTTCACTTTATGAAGTTCACCCCAATATTTATCATATTTCTTCTTCATTGATGCTGCCATATCATTTAAAAGAGTATCCATGGCTGTCCGTTCTTCAATAGGAATTGTAACATCATATCTATACAACTCCCGAATCTCCCCATCTATGGCAAGCAAGTCATGGAAGGTTGAGTGTGATGTTGGATGCAAAGACGCTGAAATTTTCAAAGTAACATCATAGAAGGTCTTCAAAAACATCACAAATGTCACGGCTTTTTCCCAATCTTCATCACTAGGTGGACCCCCCCTCTTATTAGACCTAGACTTTCCCTTCCCTTTCCCATTTCCTTCAATGCCTTCATTTCTCTCTTCCTCTCTTTCCTCTTCCTTGAAGTACGTTGAGTATGAAGAATCGGGATCATCCCCCATCCTCATCCTATCAAAAGCTTTTCAAAATTTCAATGCCGCATCAAGCATCAAATAAGTGGAGTTCCACCTAGTGGGCACATCCATCACCACCAACCCCTTGCACTCTATTTTTTCGGTCTCAACACACATTTTGAAGTAACTCAACCGAGAAGGTGAGGACCTCACAAACTTGACCGCATTACGGATTGCCACAATTGAGCTTTCTAATCTCTTCAAACCCTCCTTAACTATCAAGTTGATTATATGAGCACTACACCTCATATGCATGTGAACTCCTCCTAACACACTATTCGAATCTTTCCACCCATTTATCTTCTTCCTCACATATTCAATTGCCTTAGTGTCCCCAATCAATCAAACAATTTTCAAGCAATTTCCCAATGCTCTCCCATTTATGACTATCAATTACACAAAAAAATAGGATTCTTTTGTGCATTTTATTGTCGGAATCACTATTATACCCAATGTACATGAAGATGAATGAGAAGTTGAAAGTTGACATTCACTCACATAGAATATGCCTTACAACCGATACTTGGACATTGGTTCAAAATCTGAATTACATGGTGTTGACTACCTACTTTGTTTCTTCAGAGTTAGGAT